AAATTTTACGTGCTCTGGTCGAAAAATCACTCTCACGCACAATAGTTAACGCAAAGTTGTGGGTATATGAATCCAAGTAACAACGCTCTATGAGCTGGAAAATCTCATGTATCGTTTTTGTTGAAGCGAGATCTTTCAAGAGGATATCGCTATATAAAATAATCCTTCACTTCACTACAAAACAACGAATTCTCGCTTTGAATTTCAGAGATTCAGTTTTCGAACTGGGAGGATAAATTTAATAATCAAAGCAATGTAAACAATGTTACAGATAACTGGAAACATTGAGGTCAGAACGCCCTTCGTACAGATAAAAATGGGGGCTTTTAAGGTTGGATACATCCGATTTTATACTGGTTGATCACTGCTCCCTATTCAATCGATATTTGCTCNCTCTCACGGTCGAATGGGACCACAATTAGGTGTAAAGTGGCTAGTTCATGTTCCCGTTCAATCTCTGGTCAAGCACAAGTCACTCTGTCCTCTTTTTCTATATTTCTACCTATTTTCTACCCAGTTCCCGCTTGTGACATCGATTTGCTAAAGATATCACCATGATGAAATTCTCGGTGCGTTAGTATTTACTGTGCGACTTGAATACGGTGTTGAACCAGACCGTTTCGTTGTCCTCATAGTCCAAACGGATACTTTCCAAACAGTCTTGTTCTTTTGGTTTGTGGAGTTACTTCTTCCCCGTTCGAGATCGTAAGAACCCTTCCTGTTCAAAAAAAGTCCCGCCGCAAACTACGGTCCTTGCACACAGGCACTGATACGCACAATTCGAACCAAAACCTAATAGGAATAAAGCTTTGGCTAGGAGTCCTTACAACAATGATCTGTTTTGTGTTGAGAATCATGGCAGTATTACATTCCCACACGGCCGATTTCTTTTTAACAAAGATCGTTTTGCACAGCGTGAAACGGGGACAATAAAAATAAGAAACGAAAAACAGAAAGCTCAAACTCACAGCAATCAGTGTGTCAATTTGTTGTATTTCGCGCAGTGTCAAATCGAAACCGTGAGTGACCTGGTGCAGTTGCAGTTGCCGTCTCAATATAACCAGATAACGATCGAGTACTTCGTACAACTGACGACTTTCGGTTGAAATGGCCATGCGATAGTCACGAATGGAGTCAAGAAGCTATGGGGTGAGATGAAAGAAACGAGTTATTAGACAGCTCAACAGATCACCAGTGCGTCTTATGCGGAAATCGGTGAACTGAGATCAGAGTGCTGAGGCGGTTGTTGATGAAAGACGAGTTTGAATTCAATTGTTTTCATGGTTTACAGAATAATACCAGAATAATAGTAATTCCGAGGTACTTAGACCTAAAATCGATCTTACTGAACAAAATATTTTTGGATTCGGTTTACAATCGAAAGATCGATTAGAGCCAAATCAAAATCTACGGTCGTACTCAATCAAAATGTGAACTTTTGATGTCATAATGGGTTTAGATCAGTCCGAATTCAAAATCGTTTAAGTAAGAGATCTTAATCATAAAAAAAGAATCGATCATGCACGCTTGAGATAAAAAGCAAGACAGTCATCACAAACACAAAAGTTGAATACCAAACTGGAGCTCACAACTGGGACAAGTAAGGACGAACCGCACACTCACTCGATACTGTTTACCGTCCGCTGGATCGTCCTGTAGAGTGAAAATAAAATATTTTCTGGTAAATAAAGTATTGATTTCTCCAACAGGAAAGATATCATGATGAATTAATAAAAACAAGCATACAAAAGACACTATGCGTATGTTCAGATCAGATTTGTTTGCATCTCGGTTCGCATGATTTGTGTACAAGAAAGGAAGCAACAAGAAGAACTGCTTATTCAGTAGCACCATAATCGATTAATATTCACAAACCCGTATCTGTACAAATATATATTAATCGCGAATACTGGATATACTGAATACATTATTTCTAAAGTTCAAAGCATTACAGGTATCTCTTTATCCCTATGAACTGAAACATTAACCACTGCAAAGGAGCTGGATGTCGGGGCTGTGACTTGTGAGGATTGTGGTGGCTTTGTACACCGTACCCGTGTATCCATGAGCGTTCTGAAGTAGTTTGAATTGAACTCAAACAGGGATTTGGATCGAGCGAAGAAATCCTATTTCGATATTTGCACATTGAACGCAACATCCCCGTATAGGATGCAAGTCTAAATTGTCCCCAGAGAATAAGACTTAATTTGCTTGCAATGCCAGTATTCTTTTCAATCCGTAGATTGCGTATTGAAAACACCGTCGTACGCATGGAATGGTTGATTGCGTTTGCCAATCCAGCTGCCTGTCACACTCAGCTTACATTCATTGATTCGCGGTATGTTCGAAGTGTCAAACGTATTTGATTAACTTTGTTCTAAGGCGAAGATATATAGTTTTTGCATTCAGAGTGCACTTAGATTATATTGGTATTCAGTCACACAGAGTTACTTAACTTTTGTGATATAACTGTTTCAATATTGCTGCGGTTGGACGGATGGCTAAGATCAAACACGAGCAAAATGATTTTGAACAATTTGGAACCTCCTAAACTTTAAGCTTTTTATTATTGACAGGATAATTACAGCGATCAACCCCTCGGTTTTGGAACAGAAATAGGCCCTCAACTATTAGACTAGAAGTCAGAATCAGGAGTTCTGTAACACAGATGTCTAATAAACCACTGAAGTCCATCATGTGCTACAGAATGGTCTGATGATCGACAGATGTTTGATCCTCGGTAGTATTCATCAGTAGGGTGACTACTTTTTCGATCTCTCTGTCGGCCCGCCAATCACAAGCATTTGAATTGCGGGTAGAAAATCTTCCACTTCAGGGTGCACATTTCGCGGTCATCAACTGGGTCACACAGATGCATAAACTCTAACAGATTTTCTCTTGTATCATTTATGCCACTTCACAGACGCAAGATAATATTTAAATCAGTGCAAAAAAGTCTTACGATCAGTGGCAATCTTGCATTGTCATTTCTGTCTCGTTACTGACAAATTTTCCAGTCATCGTTTATTGACCTTTACTAGTCAATTCATCAAGAAGTAACAGGAAACTACGTTGCCTCTTTGATAGATTACTAGTTACTTCGACGAAGAAATAATATTTGACAAATAAACTTCAATTTCATTAGTGCATATCAAAAAATGCTCCTTGTTTCATTTTGAAATGTATTCTATGCTCTTGACCATATAATTTGTTCGAATGCTTATTTCATGAAAAATATGGAAGTGGATGAATGTATGTAGAACATGATGCTGACTTACTGGAACCACAGATTCATAAGGAGGCACTTCTGGTCCATTCCTTAACGTGTCCATAATCGGAATGGCTTTGATCAGTGGACGTTCCGGTGATGTTGATGGTGTGGTGTGTGCTTCTTGAGATGGTGAAGTACTGTACATCGAATGACGATGTGGCTCCATTGGGGACGGTTTGCGGCGCGAAACCCGCACTGCACTTGTGGCACGTTCATCAGGAACAACATAGTCCGGATATATTGGGGTTCGGTGTCTCGGAGAAAACTTTTTTCCGATAAAGTTATGACATTGTGGACGATATTCACAGGGGATATGTGTAAAAATTTAGAGGAGATTACATCACTTGCTGTTTTCCTGTGTGAATAACTTATTGAGAATAATACAAATGCGAATGACAAATGCTACTTCTCCTCGGTCCCACACAAGTTTTGCTCGTTTTCCTACTTACGCCGAAAGAATGGAGCAACCGCACCAAATACTGCGGGTTTTATGACTTGAAATATCCCCATAGATCATTGAAAAAACCAGTGAAGTGAAGAATTCTTTTCGATTACTCATTCTCAAGCTTCCACATTATTATATGATCACGAGGTGACAACAAAAGTCATGATTTACAAAATAAACCGGGGTGGGGGAGGGGGCGGGTGATTCAAGAGCATCACCCGGCCTGGCCGAGAAAAGGACTATCAAAGGCCATTCGTAGCTCAATTGTGGAACATCTTGTCAACACGGGGCATAGGGTAGTTGTTGAAAGGTCATTTAATGTCATTTACAGAACCCCGATGAATCTGACCAAACAATTGCGGCAGATTATGCTTTGCACAGCCGACGCGGTAGCGATTCCTATCCACCACCCCGAATTGTGCAAACAAAAACGGATCGTTCACGTATTGAGTATGCCATGGCCCGACAGTATGACGTAATTGACCTTTGTTCAGAAAATCAAACGATGACTGAATGATCGTGTTACGTAATCTGCTTGGACAAGTGATTACAACCCTGTAACCCTCCTCCCCCAGCCCGGTTTATTTTGTAAATTATGAGTTTTGTTGCCACCTTGTGATCATATATTAATGTAGAAACTTGAGAATGAGTAATCGAAAAGAATTCTTCGCTTCGCTGGTCTTTTCAATGGTTTTATAAGTGTCAATACATTTCTGATAGATTCTCTTTCGTGAGACAGCCTTACAGATATCTAATCAAGTGTGCCGAAATTTCCAGTGAGAATCTTGATAACCAAACCGATGAAAGCTTCTCGGTGTATTGCGGATGGAAAAGAATGCTTTGGGAACAAATGAAAAACGATCTATCATTTATTTAGATGAACAGCGCATATCCAATTAACTCCTATGCCCTCTCCTCTCTGACTTGGTATTTGGTGCACATGGGAAAGTAGCTAACATGAACTGAGCCAAAAACTCCGATTTGATTCCCGCATGCGAGAAATCAATAGCTAATCTTCCGGATACACTTTACCGTTCCATTATGTACAGTTATTTGTACAAACTTTTCGATCACCTATACATCTTTCCGGCATTTCGATCACTGAGTCTAAAATAATTTACTCATCACAGAACTTGAATTACATTGACACAGCTCAAGGCCTAGTGTGAATGAACTTCATGTGCTTGATTGGTGTGTGCCAGTTTGAACAAGAAATCATTTTGTTTACTGGAAAAGTAGACCGGACGCAGAGGTCAGTTTTCATGGACCACAGAACTGAATGAAACTTACTCTTTCCGGGGATACAGACCGTCTGGGACTACGGGATCGTTCAGCCTCCTGGATATTCACGTCGTTGATTTTCTGTGAAGCAATCGATGAATACATGCAGGGAAGTGTCAATAGGAAGTTTTGCAGCATTTACAGCTTGAATCATCCGAAATGGAAGTAACTGATTCCAGTATTAGGCAATGAAGTGATTCGTTATGTAATATCAACGTTTTACGCAACAATGAAAAGCGTCGGTGAAACGGTACAGCGGTTTCTTTCTTTCCAAGTACCATCACCAGTGCGTAATAGCCGAACAGGAAATTGCTTCAACCTGGGAGTGTGAATTTGCGGCCTCCAGCGTTTCCTTATTAGGTTGCTCGAATCGTTAATATTGGCTCAGTGGGTAAGTGGGTGATTGGTGTTAACTCCTCTGGACTCGAGAAATCGTAGACTCACTAATTCTGCCCTCATGAGAATTACTTGTGAAGCCTATCCAGCTAACCCTTTTACTGTCGTATGTAGAAAGAGGGAGATGTTTAACGTGGCGCAATATTATCAAGAAGCAGATCTTGTATGGATCAAGGATAACATTTTGGACTTATTATTATGCGAGTTTGATTTAAAAGAATCATCGCATGTACTTTAAATCTGCTCTGCTGACGACTATTCAAGAAGGTAATACATCTGCGGATCACTTTGAATATTTTAGTGGCATACCCGACACAGCATTCGAAATCCCCAGTATTAAGGAACTGTGAATACTCCGTTTTTATCGCAAATGGCTTTGATTATTGGACTGTACTGATAACTTGAGGTAAAGTTAAACCAGAATGATAAAACTGCTCAGATTTCCGGTGCGTTGTCTGTGGTCTATTCGTTTAACCAGCTGTTTTAAAAGTAGCTAGACCAGTGTTATCCAGAATCATTAAGCACTGATTACCCACCTAATCTACTGAAATTAAGACATGAACACAGGGGCATTGTAATCTGGAGCGTTAATCGGCTAGGATGCCGATCATGGACATTGCGTTCATCCTACGGCGGTGAAAAACTAAGGTGATATCAAGTAGTGTGATGAAGGTTAGCAAGTTGCTGAAGGTCACCCGGAGTAGCTCCAAAAGTTGATGCACCTGGTTGACAAACACCTCTTGCTTCAGTGGGGGGGGGCGCAGTGCATCGGATACAAAGATATTCTAAAATAATTGTAATGAAGAGTGGAACAGCTATAAAATGCTTCTAAGAGGTTTTCATATCATGAGGGATACGTCGGTCTCGCGTGACAAATGCACCATGGATGCTTGAGATTGTACACATAAAATTTTCAAACAAACGTCCGCTTTCACGACTGCAAGGAAATAACATAGTAAATATAATCAGAAATCTGTCTGTATCACATCAAAAGCATTCGCGTTCTGCTTTGTCTGACTGAACAAGCAATAGAAAAAGTCTCACCGTTTTCTTATCTGTCTGATGAACTACCGTTTTCAAAATCCCACCTCCAAAATAATTCATTACTTGGAAGACAGCTATTCTGATGGGAAATAAATTGCAGGCTAATGTTTCACTGCACAAAGCAACCCGATTAGATTGGCTTCATCATGATGGATATGAATCAGTTTATCATATGCCCGTGAGGCAGTTGTATCAAGTTCCGTGATCTCGAATTTCGCGAGATCACCTAGCGCTATTATAGAGAAACCGACGGATTATTTGTATGTCCAGAAGAAATATGTCCAGTAGTCTGAACTTACTGAGTTACTCGGACGCACAGCTATCCGGAATACGGATTTAAACATTAGCATATCCACTGTTCTCACCAGTCATTTCGTTCACAAATAATCCTATTGGTATGAATTAAACGAAGAATCCGAAAGAGGAAAGCGCACTCTTCATAAGAAACAATTTAACCAGAACAGGATACTAGCATGGTTTTTGCTTCACAGAGTTGAACTATGTCCTCATCACTCCGGATACGACCGCACCAGTTCATGTGAGATTTGACAGTCGTGCACAACCAGGTCGCGAACATGTTTCCATCTGGCTCCCTTCCTTTTGACACACACACACACGGGGTCGACATTTTGCCAAACCGGGTAATCTTATTCCACCGGAAATGTGTCAGGCTTGATAATTTACACTCTCTCTGAGATATAAATACATAGGTGAGGCAACATGAATTCACATAAACCTGTATTTTTGCTTTGTGTCACTTTCTTTTCTCATGGTCTTGACTTCAAACCCAATTATTTACCATTCAGGTCTCGGATGTGGTGATGCAACCTAATGCGCACCGGTGACAAGTCCCAACTACGGTTGAGTGCATGCTTCGTGCTTTTTTTGCGCTTTCTTAGGATCGACTGTAGCAGAGATCGAACTCACAATGTTAGACGAACCGCACTGCCTGTCCAACGATT